CCAAAGAAGAAGCAACCTTCCTCGCCCCTTCCCCCATCCCACTGAGTTTTTTCCAACGATGTGGATACCGACTATGCAACAGGAAAAAATCAACCATGAAAAAATTTTTCATCATACCAAACACTACTTTCCTCCTTCCAACGACCTGAATGCGATCCCCCCTCCCCACCCGGGTGGGGATTTCCCAACGTAGGACTCGCCCTGGTTCCAATCCTCAGTTTGGATGCACATGCCTTGAGAGGAGCCAGTCTGCAATATTGCGTCAGCGTGTAGCGGCCCGTATAGTAACGTGCGATCTTGGAGGGGTGGAGGGAGGCAGCAAGAGAGCTCCTTGGTGGGTACCAACTGCCGACATTCCAATTTTCTCACGAATGAGAGATGGCCGACCATCAGCTCTATTCCCACTTGAAAATTATAGGCAGCTGAAGTACGCTAAAGTGCGCATTTGAGGAATATAGGAATATAACACTGTCTGAATATTCAAATGTGCAGGTGATAGCATTGAGTTGCAGCTTGAAGTTCGTGATTCTACTGTTCGTGTTCCTTTGAAGCCGCGCTCAGGATCACAGGTAGCGCAGGTACTTCAACATTCTCACTACAGGACTTAAAGTTGCTTGTACTTCGCCAAAGGTGTATATGAGCTACACTGCTTAGGTTCCCGTACAGCGTGTTTCTTATGGTGGTATGCCTGAGAAAACGCGTCAGCAACGTTTTCATGAGGGGCCACCTTTTATAGAGATGAGAACGTTCTCTAGCAATGGAAATTTAGCCTCAAATTTATATAATGCGCCGGAAGAGGTGGGTCTCTCTAGTTAAGTTTACATGTAACTTTCTCTGTGTTATCGTATTCAATTAGGAGAACGAAAGCAGTTTTCTTTTTGGATGGCCTTGGCTCGATAGACAGATCGCTGACGATAATTCACGAATACAGGTAATAATGTGCGACCTTGCCAGTACAAAATGTCTGATGGTGAGCAAAAGTTGGGGCGGGAAGGGAAATAGGCGACAACATTGTTGGGCGAGGTTACGCGGCTGCTCCTTTGCCTTCCGCTAACCAAGGTTCGGACTGGGAGCGCATACGGCCAGAGTCGCATAGAGGTAACGCGCACGAGTAAAATAACGACCGCCAAACTGTTGAAGTGTTGGGAAGAACATGTTGCTAGCCGGGGAATGGGTTCTTTCGAAGAGAAATAGCAGTGCGCGTTGGACGAGCCACATATCGTCATAGGTGAGAGCTGCGGTGTGAAAGGTTACAGTGGTTATATAACGCCATGTAGACGGGAAAGTGCACGGAAGACCAAAAACCAAATAGTCCGCGACTACTCTGGTCGTCTGCGCTCTAATGGTAAGTCCAAACTTTGTGACGGGAGTGAAAGATAGGGGCGCCGCCGCGTGGCCCCACTTAACTAGGTTGGGGTTGGTAGTGGGGTGGTTTGTTCGTACTGCTGGGGATATTCATAGTTCAAGAGAGACAGGGGGGCCTGTTCTGACTGGTTTTCGCGTACCGACTGACTGCCCCCCCCAACGCTCCTCACTCGCAGCTGTCTTTACACCAAAGTGATCAATATCGGAAATTAGTGGATTCATTGTAGAAACGGCGTAGTGGCGAGAATGAATTGTCATGGAATCCCTTAACGCCGGATTACTTCGTATACAGTGGTAATAGTTGATTTCTGTTTTCTTTTCCTCATCTGAATGGTGGAAAACAATGGGGTTTGCCCTGATTCAGGCGCAACAAGTGTCTGGAGATGGTCTGTCACTGTGATATTAGCCTTGATAGTGACTGAATATTGAGAAGAGAATGGACAAATATAATAGAAGCAAACACGGAACAGACCCACCTTCAAAGTTTTGGTTTTTTTTAAAATTGTTTTTTTCTCAGGTTTGGATATTTACAGAGATTTCTATAGTTATGGTGATGCTTGATGTTATCATTATAACATGTACATTTGTATTTAATTAAGCTAACAGCTGACCGTGACAGTTTTACGGAAACTGGTATATGTTGTTATTGTTATCATTTTCTGTTTACTGCATTGTTATACTACTAGAAAAGTTCTACTTGGGTTCCGGTTGCTACTGTAGTTGCTAGTTTTGTTGCTAGTTTGCTGTTAGTATTGCTTGCGAAGAATCGCACTCTGCAGATATTCACGAAGTATTACGAAGTTTTCCAGGCGTGGGTCAGGAGATCCATGTTGCGGCGGCGTAGTGAGAGCAGCGCGGTACTCGCTACCAATCCTGATCGGTTTGACACGAAAGTGCTAGACCAATCCGGGTCGATGAATACGGAAATGTCGCGAGCGTCGAGCTGACCGTCACCCCAACGGGTCTCCTGACCCACATCCCATTTATTTGTGTTGAGCCTTTTATTATATGGTGTTTTGAGACAAGAAGCGCTCTCTGACCTTTTGTTCAGTGTTTATCTCCAAGCTACGTAATCACAGTAGGATGCACAAAGTGAAGATGAGGAAATCGCACAGAGCATATACGTATATAAATGAGCACAGGTGTAGCACAGGTCAGTTTTCCATCGAGAGTTAGGCAGCGTTCAGACTTTGAGATGACGCACGTCAACGCGCCGCCACTACAAGAGCGTTCAGTTGCTATAGGTACAAACACGGCCGCAGACGGGAATCGATCGGCGTTGGTCGCTTCGGCGGCCTGTGCCTAGCTTTACAGCGCGTCGACGCGCGTCATCGCGAAGTCTAAACGCTGTCGGGGGGGATGACGTGTCACAAAGAACGTTAATCAGTGGAAACATGTAATCAGAGTGCGTCGCGTCGCGACGTGTGAAATGGCGTCGACCTTC